TTTACGCTTATGTTTCTGTATTGACGATGACATCCCAAATGTTTTAAAAAATGAATAAAAATACATTTCTTCGGAAATGCTTTGATAACGTATTTATCATGTTTTACTAGGAACAAATTCCACAACATTTTTATTAAAAGAAGTACTCTGATTTTTATAAAGCATAAACAAAATCGGTCTTTTCTGGCCGTGAAAATGGGGATGTCACATGCTTGTACATAATGGGACTAGAACCATAACCACCACCGTAAGGTGGTGGCCGCCGCCGTGAGCCGTCGTTGACCACTACTACCCGAGGTGGTAGTGGGTGGTGCCAGAATTAGGAAAACCCTAATTAACCTAATGAAACCCTAATGGGCCTAATGAATTAGCTTTTGGGCCTAATTGGGTTATGATGGGTTGGAAACCCTAATTAGGGTTTAGAAAACCCTAATTTTGGATATATGGGCTTTGGATTGTCGGGACCCGCATTTTGGACAACCGGATTGGGATTATGTATTAAGCCCTACCACACCATATGATTTATCTAGTAGAGTAATGGACTTAATGGATTAAGTCCTTAATGGGTTAAGTAGGAACACTTAACCCTAATCTTTATTTCATGTGAAAACCCTAATTGTGTTGGGTTTAGAGTTGGGCCTTTCTGTTGGGCCTAGATGTCTGGACTCTTAATGGGCCAACTATTAACAAGTAAATGGACTAGAAAACTTGGATTGGGTGTAAGGATAAGTCCCATTGGAAATTTTTGGGCCCAATTTGGAAAATTAGGCCATAGATGGGCCATAACTAGGCCTTGATGATTATGAGATATTAGATCATCAGAATGTCAAGTGTTGGACCAAGAATAAATGGTTGGGCCTTAGGGAAGACCATGTAGAGGTTTGGGCCCAATTTGGAAAATTGGGCCATAGGTTGGGCTTTGACTCATAGTTGACTTTTGGGCCTTTGGATTGGGACTTGGGCTTGATTCAAGCTAAGTTGGGGGTAAAGTAGCCTTTTACCCCAAGCATTGACTTATGGATATGTATTGGAACCCAATTACTGATTGGGTGTTATTTTGATGATCGGTAGTTCGAGAACCTGTCATCCAGCAGCTAGAGTTTTGTCTACGGGACTTCAGCAGTGCGAGGTGAGTTCTCTTCTAGTAGGAACGGGTCTAAGGCACCAAGGCCGTCCCGTTTATGCATGTTAGCATTGCCGAGGTTAGCTCGATGTAGTTATATGTTTCCGGACTTCGGTCCGATGCCGGGGCAATCCCGAGGAATGTTTGTATGCTTGATGTCTTCGTGATTCTTGCATGTGTTTAAATATGTGTTCCGGACTTCGGTCCGATGTCGGGGCAAGCCCGAGGAAGGTCTAGCTTATATGTTATGTGTTATATGTTTCGGACTCCGGTTTGATGCTGGGGCAAGCCCGAGGAATGTTTATATGTTTATGTGTTATATGCATGTTGCTATGTTATATGTATACCAGACTTCGGTCCGATGCCGGGCGGGGCCCGATGCCGGACTTCGGATCGATGTCGGGCGGGGCCCGATGTCGAACTTCGGTTCGATGCCGGTCGGGGCCTGATGCCGGCGGGGCCGATGCCAGACTTCGGTCCGATGCCGGGCAGGGCCCGATGTAGCGGGAAATGCCTAATGTATGGTATTATGTGATTATGTGTTTGGTATGTGGTAGTTTGGGCCTTGGGGAGACTCACTAAGCTTTGTGCTTACAGTTTTCAGTTTTGGTTTCAGGTACTTCCACTAGCAAAGGAAAGGAGTCGGCACGATCGCAACGCATCACACCATGTTTTCCGCACATGAGATCTTTGGGAGTTAAACTCTGATGTTGTTTTATTATGACATGTTTTGATTATTGACATATTGGTTTTATAATTACTTAATTAAAAATGAAATTTTTGGTTTTAAATTTTGGGATGTTACAGAACTCCTCAATCAACATGGTCTTGATAGACCCAAGCATCTCCGAAAATTGCTTCCCTAATTGCCATGGCTACCTCGACAATAATGATCTCGTGAATCTCCTCATCAGGACCCGTCCTCTCTGGGTTGCCAACGCCTGATCTTGAACCTCTGATAACCACCATATTGAAAATGCACAACAAAAGGGTAAAACATTAAGACATGGCGCTCAAACACTCTATGCCTTCACCTATTAGTTCCTGGGTAGCCTCGAGATTCCTTCTGATTCTTATACGAATCATGTGCTTTCAGTAATACGGGCCCATGCTACCTTCTACACCTATCCGTAGTCGACTCATAATTCATCTCAAGGACATAAGTCACTACACTAGACCACCCCTAGATGCACTAACATCCACATGCTCTTAAGAGCCACAACTAACTTCCTAGGCGCTCCTCCTAAGATTCTCCTCAATCACGCTTCTGCTCTACTGGTTGCCTTCATGCATATAAGTTATACACAATACATGATCAAATAGACTATTGAATAAATGACTCTACCCAAAGCCCACGACCAAACAAGGAACATGGAATAAGGCTAAGTCAATTATTCTAAGGCTATATAATCCTAACCGTATACAAGTATACAACATACACTTAGAAATTCAAATAATCAAATAACACATAACAAGCAATTCCCTATGCTATAAGGCATCAAAGAAGTAGTCAATACTTATCATTCAATTCCCGAAGGAATCCTTAGCCTACTCACTAGCATGCATTTCTAACAATTCACACATCACCAAGATCAAATTCAACATATATAACAAATTCAACATATATAACATTTCTAAATCTCTCTCTCTCTCTCTCTCTCTCTCTCTCTCTTTCTCTCTCTTTCACTATTTCTTTCAGGATACATATGATCCACGCCTGGCCTATAACACACCGCAGACCTACCCGAGTATCTTGGCCTACATCACAAAGCAGGACCACCTCAATCCACCATATAGTATGTCGACATATAGATCAAACAAACAATCAAACAAGAACACAAACACATGCACATTTCTACACTAGTCTACCTGTCTAACAGCACGGTACAACATACCGAGCCTCATACAGTATTCTACACCACTACTGGCATATTACTAATGAATGCATAAATATATGTAATCGGAGGTGAGATAGACATTCGAATTGGTGATCTTACTCTAGAGATGCAACTAAACAAGGAACAGGCAAGAAATACTAGATTAAGAGTTCTCAAGCTATCCTACATGACTACATACAACCCCTAGGGCACTCAAATAGACGATCATCGACCCTTGGTACTCTAACTATCATGCCACTACTTCTATATCCTCTCATACAAGGATATATATTGCAATACATAGTATAGTGAGGCAACTCACCTGAATCGAAGACCCAAGGAACACAACAACACACTCACTCCTTATACCGATCGCTCTCGCGAACTGACTATCACCAAGCAAAGGTAGAACCTTAGTCAATAACCCAATTCCTTCAAGTTTGACCCATGGTCAAACTGGTCAAAAAGTCAACGATCAATGGGCCAACAAAATTCAACGATCAAGAAGTCAACCCCCACCACGACATGGAGGCCTCTTCGCCAAGTCGTGGGTACATCAGAACAAAACAGTCATGAAGTTGCGAACCACCACATCGTGGCAAGCCCATTGCTATGTCGTGGAAACTGATAGAAATTCGTATTCTTCATTAAGAGCTTAACCCTTACAGATCTAAACCCATAACTGCAAATCTAGTACATTTCAATGACTTAATGGATATAGTTTCCAACTTTATCCATTATGTCTCTACCACAAGCCAAGATCTACAATTCTATTTCCATTAAGTCCTTAATGGGGCTATAACTTGAGCATGGATACAAGGAACTCCAAACATGACTCTTTTTCTTATTCACCAGAAGAAGTTTATTGACCTTAGAAGGCCATCTCAAGTTCTGGAGTTCTTCAAACTCCAAGAGCATCCAAGGAAGGGACCAAATCAAGAAAAACGAACTTATACTTGAATCAAGAAGAGAAAATGTCAAGATGAGAGCTTTATACCTCCAACAACTCAGAAATCTGAAGGAGATGATGGATCCAAGTTGATTCCTTATTTCCTTGCACCAAAATGATCTTCCTCTTTCCTTAAGCTCCACAAAAATCCAAGAATAAGGTCTTCAATCATGCAACCAAACTCTTAATCGTCCATGGAGGCTAGGGTTTCGTGGAGAAGGGTTGGAGGCTGAAGAGGATGCCTTAATCCTTGAGATTAGGTGCTTAAATATGGAAGAAATCCTAAAAATCATGAGCTTGGGATGCAGCCGCTACCACATCGTTGCCTTCCTCTTGCCAAGTCGTGACGACCATCAGGATACACATTTTATGCATTTGGCATGCCACGTTGTGGTGCTTCATTCACCGTGTTATGGCACTAGATTTTTCCCAAAATCTTACCTTTAATTCCTCCTAGTCTTCAACTAGATGTTACACCATGACATCCCTTTAAAGATACCAACTAAAATGACTCTTGCATATATACTTTTTCACAAATAATTATATTATTATAACTTTAGAAAAAATAAGTTAGACTCGGGTGACATAGTCTGCATTGTTCAAGTTATCAGTCAATCTTATTATAGTGGACTCCGTTTCCCATGCAACATGTAGACTTTTGAGAAATTTAATCAGAATTTCACCATTATTAAAGATGTTGCGGTGTTGTTTCATATCATTGATGAAATATTTAAAACTGATGTACGTTTCGATCAATGTTTCATTAGGCTTGCATGTGAATAAGTTGTACTATTGTTTCATCAGTACTTTCAAGTAGGATGATGATAGTGTCCCACATATCCTTAGCCGATTAGCAGTGGAGTGATGGAAAGAAGTAGAGAAGACGGGAGAGAATCTTGTGGAGTTGTCAATTTAATGTGTATAATACATAAATTTTCAATTTTGTTCTTTCTTAAAAGAAGAGATCATGTCCATAACAATGTGCAATAAAGATAAGTCCACCTATACAAGATTGACAATAAGTTTCATCATATATTCATAACTCATATACCAATTAGAATAAAGAAATCGATATCAACCAAGAAAAGTTGTACAACTCCTTGAAAATGATACAATACCACAAGTCTACAACCCCAGAATCCTGAAGATGGGGTCATCTCAATTAGGTCAAAAATCAATAGTATTAGCACAAAATAGCAATCAAGAATGAAGTTTTTCTTTTTCTTTTTAATCCAAATATCATAATCAAGCTGGATTGACTGAATTTGCATTTTGGGTTTTAACATTTTTGAAGTTGAAAACACCCGTTAGTCCTTTTCCTTTAGCAAGCTGCTCAAGTTCCTCAAGTTTTTGCTTTAGGCATTCCACTTCTTTTGCTAAATCCTCATCTCGTTGCCTCATTTCCTATACACCATAAACAGATAAGCAATAAGCAAAAAAACGACATTTTATTATAAATTTACACAGAAATTGAAAAAATAAAATAAAACATTACCTCCAATTCTTGTTTGCGGACTTCTTCTTTTTTGGCTTCTGATCTAGCACTTCTTTGCACCTCAAATATGAGGGCGACTCCTGCCACCTATTTGAAATTTTAAAGTGTATACCACCATTAAACACATTTAAAGTTCTTGCTAATTTTTTCTGCTATGTGGAACTCTTCTGTAACTACTGGTAAATTGATGAGTTTTAAACGATTATAATACTATGAAGAAGATATTAGCAAGAAAGATCATACCGAGAAGACAAAGAGTTCACTTATAAGATCCCCAGCTGCCTGAACAGCTTTCTCCTCATTCAATGGCCGAATTTCAACATCAGTTGCGTGTCCATAAATTCGCCTTTGTATATTTGTTGTTAGCCTGTGATTTGCCTGTTACATCACATACATCGCTTGAAATTAGTAAAATTTTACAATATTAAAGATGGAATAGCAACATTTGAAATGTTGAAGTAAACCCTAATACCTAATTATGCTAGCAAACAACTATCGACTAAAGGTTCCGTTATCAATTACAGAAAACCCATAATCAAAATTTAATCGGGAAATCAAATAAACACAAAACAGAAGCGAAGAATCGGTATGAATGTGAAGTAGTAGAAGCAGTTGATTACCTGCGCGAAACTAATGATCGATGTCCGAAACTTGGGGTGAAGGGCAGCCTGTTTTTTGAGCCTGCTGGCAATGGGTTTGCTTAAAGTTTTCAATGCGAGCGTCCCAAGCTTCAATAACGGGAGAACCATTACTCTTCTGGCCCGATCTTAGGATTTGCTCTTATCTGTACGAAAATGGCGCACTGCACACCAAGTGTTTGATGATTTGTCTAGAAGGGAAGGAGATCAAGAAAACGTATATGTATAGTATTCTCCATTTAATGACGATGGTTATGGTGGATTGCTATGATTTCCTTGGAAAGGAAGATAGAGAATGGGTCATTGGGAGGAAGCCGGAAGGTGGGTAGATGCGCTACAAAAGTTTGCGTTTCCTCACTTTGATACGAATATGAATCCCACCTTCTGGTTGACTTTTCAATTCAATTCTGTTAAAATCTTTCGAAAACCGCTTGAAATTTACAGAAAATATAGTAAAAATTATACATATAACCAAAAAACCTTGCATTTAAGGGTTTATGTTATGAATAATTGCATATACTCTTCGTCGATGAATCATAAACAGAATTTACAAATTATATATTGATCATTTGTCTTTTCCTTGATCCGTCAAAAAGAAAAAAAAAAAAACAAATATGGAAATATGGAATAGAATGTAAATGGGCTTTGGGCCTTTTTATAAAGTTTTGGACCTCCAAAGTCCAAGGTGTTAATTTCCACACTTTTCCAATTTAGCCCCTACTTTCTTAGAAGATTTACAACAAGCACCCTCTCCTACAATGACTTCCCAGTTCCCACCCTTGCTCACACTTCATGTTCGCCTCCTCCCCCTTCTTCCTCCTCCATAACAGCAGCTAGGAGTTCAGCCATTGTCGTACCAGGTATCTCTATCCATTTCTCTATTATTTTCGCTCTATTTTTCTGAGAGTCGCGATAAAAATCCTAAATAATTTCACCTCTAATTGACGGCTCAAGTCCAGAATCGCACTAAACCCCAAATCAATAAACCTCACCCACTAACCTGTGCCTCTTTCGCGAGGTTTCTTCGGCTGCTTCAGATTTCATTTTTCTTGTAACACGTTTTCTTGTTTCCAGTAGGTTCACAATTCCCCATTGCTAAATTTTCCTTTTGTAAAACTTGGTGGTTTGTAGCCTGTTAGGTTTTGAAATAGTTTATGACTCTTGCAACTTTTTTCATAAAAATTGCTTCGGGGCATTAATTGATGCATCACTAATCGCAGCTTCACTCCAGCGAACATTGATAATTTGATGTAGATTGTATGTCTTCGTTCTTCCTGTTCTTTGCGATTCATCCTGTAAACAATGAGTTACAACTCGAATTTTCACTCTAGACCTAATCCTTTTCAAATAAAAAGTTGATTTGAATCTTATTACTAATTCCGTGTTTAAAGTTTAACCATAATAATTTTGAACAGGTCTCTAAAACTACAATAAATCTATTAGTAGCATGGCCTTGCCATGTTCCAGGAAGCTATTACGCTCTATGAGCTCAAGTTATAAACTCCATTGCAGTAATCATCAGAACATTGTGCATCGATCTTTCCACATTCTTTCTACTGGTAAGAAATACAGATTCCATCACTTAAAAGACTCATTCTGTTTATCACTTACAGTAACTCAAATCTTTTCGGGGGTTATTATTTATTAATCTCTCTGACTATGCATATAGCCTCACGTGATCATGACACTGGTGATAAGCAATCTTCAATGGAATATTCAATCTTTAAAAAGGTAAATCATTTCTATCAACTTTCTTTATACATTGTTTTTACACAGCCATTAAAAAACTCCCACAATTTATGCAGGCAGGGTTTCCTTTAATGGGGACTCGAGGTCTATCTACTTCCATGCTAAGTTCAGATGCAAGTGAAGGATCATTCCCATCTGAGCTACTATCCAGAAAACAAATCTTAACTCCTGAACGCAAATTAGGTGCATGAATGAAAACAAATTATACATTATCTATTAAGAATGGAGTTTGTGTTTGACCATGGTTTTGAGTTTGACACAGGTCAACTACAGGACCTGGTGATCCCAGTTACAAACTTTCAGAATGAAGACAAAGGACTGATGGTGTTGGCAGGTGATGTTTTTGATCTTCCCATTCGGAAGGATATTATCCACCGTGTTGTAAGATGGCAGCTTGCAAAAAGACAACAGGTATTTTTGAATTTTGATTTTTTTAGAAACTTTTTCTATCTTTCTCATTGTTAAATGTTGATTGAGAGGGATGATGATTACAGGGAACTCATTCAACAAAAACCATAAGTGAGGTGAGTGGTACTGGAAGAAAGCCATGGCCCCAAAAGGGTACTGGCCGAGCAAGACATGGATCTTTGCGTGGGCCCCAGGTATGTTTTTTCTATTAATTAATTACTTAATTTACTCTCATATGTTTTTTTTTTATTTAAGATTTTGAAATAATGAAAAAACAGTTTAGAACTGGTGCTGTTATGCATGGGCCTAAACCACGCAGCCATGCTTTTAAGCTGAACAAGAAGGTCAGAAGACTAGGGCTCAAGATTGCATTGTCTGCTCGTGCAGCTGAAGGGAAGGCATGTTTTGATTTTATTTTGTACTTTTTAAAAAAAATATATATTTAGTTTATATAATTTATTAACATAAAAAGGTAACAATTTGCAGCTTTTGGTGTTTGAGGATTTAGTGCTTCCGACTCACAAAACGAAGAATATTGTGAGTTTTGCGAATCAAATGGAAGAGTCGAAGAAGATTTTAGTGGTGGATGGAGGTCCTATTGATGAAAACCTAAAGCTTGCAACTCAAAACCTACATTATGTCAATGTTCTTCCCTCTATTGTAAGCTTTCTAGGTCTATTTTTTAATGATGATGATGAAAAGGGCATTTATGTCTTTTGCCCATACGAGATATGAGGAATATATCTGTCCTGTCATGTCATGTCCTGTTATGTTATGTTATGTCATGTCATGACCTGTTCTGTTTAGTTATGAATTGTTTTGGTTTGTTGCAGGGTTTGAATGTTTATAGCATCCTTTTGCATGACACGTTGGTGATGTCACGTGATGCTGTTAACAAGATCGTTGAGCGTATGCACACTCCTATTAATCGTTAAATTTTTTAAAAAAAAAAAATTTGGAGGTAGTGTTTTGAGTCACTATGCTAAGAGACTTTGGAGTTTTGCAAGTGTAGAATTGTTTCTTTTCATATATTACCTTCACTTTGTAAGGGGTTTTTGTTATAGATTTAATGACATTTTAGAACATGTTTTGATATGAACAATATTTCAAATGTTTGAATAATTTGGGATTTCTTTTGATGAATTATAGAAGACAAGATAGATAAACTTGTCACTTAACTTTAAAAAGTATGTGTTCAATATCTTAAATTAAATGGTTGGTTTTGGTATTACATTTACATAAGAAGGAAACACACTTTTCCTTGCATCAAATTGCACAATTTTTTTTTATTGCTCGTAGAGTTTTTTTCCAAAATTCTCGATGTTTGCTTTAAAAAATTGTAATGTTTTTGTATTGCAAGTAGAGTTAGATTTCTATTTAAAAAGTCAACTTCACAATTTAGGAATCAAATTTTATATTGATACTTCAAGTCATTTAAGCATAACGTAAATAGAATAGAAGAAAATATCCAATATTTGGAAAGGTAATTGCCTAATTGGCACCTAAATGACTTAAAGTAATGCTCTTATATTGCATTTCATGCCACCGTTGACTTTTTAACTCCAATATCATTATACACACAAGTTATCATCTCAAGTAGCCTCAACAATTGCATCAAGCAATCTCCAAAAAGCCAACTCATATACAAGTCTTCACTTTCATCTAAAGAAAGAAACTTTGAGGTCAACTCTTTGTTTTTTCATAACCAAATAGAGTAGATTTCAAGATTCATCAATCTTTTATAGGCAATGGAGTCGATTACATATTGTAGATAAATTATTTTTCCAAATGAGTTTCCATAAAGAGAACCTTGATTTGGTTTTGGTACCAAGTGGGCTTGTGGTCATGTTTGGATACCACCTATGGCTTCTCTATAGATGTCTCAATTGCCCTCACACCACAACTATTGGCTTTGAAAACAATGACAAAAAAGCTTGGGTCGACAAAATTATGAAGGCAAGATTTTTTTAAAATTTTATATACAATTCGATAGCCCCATGGGCGTACATATCACCATTGGTTTCAAGGTTGTAATTATGTAGACCTTGTTAAGGGTTCAAGTCGCAGCAACAACCATCACAATATGAGAGGTTCAGTCTCAATGTGGATTGCACTCCTAATTATGACATTCACCTATTAAGCCACTATGTACCTGATTTACATTTCACATGATGCTCTTGGGGCAGAGCGATTTGGGCTACATTAGGGGTTGTTGAATAAATATATTTTTTGTAGAACGTCAAAACAACTATGATTAAATACCCACTTTGTTATATTCTTTTTGCTAGATGGAAAACAACGACTTTGCGGTTCCTCTAAACGTGCTTTCCTACAATATATCATCATCGAATTTCATGTCATCCATATGTCTAACTCTTTGTGCAGTCATCGGCACTTTGGTTGCAAACAGTTCCTCAATGTTTCAAAGCAAGTTCATCTACGGAGATGCAAATTCATCAATAATATCAATAAAACACATAAGCCTCTTGGTTTGTTTTCTCTTGGCCTTTGCTTGTTTTATCGAGTCCACAAGATCATTGATTCATGCTACTTATCTAATAAGTATGCCAAATAGCAATGTGCCAATAAAATCAATTGAATTGGCTGTGATTAGGGGTGGTGATTTTTGGTCACTTGGGCTTAGGGCACTTTATCTTGCCCTATTGTTGTTGCTATGGCTTTTGGGGCCTATTCCCATGTTCACAACCTCGATAATGATGGTTTGTGTGCTTTATTTTCTTGACAATAACACGGTGCCATTGCATGTGCATCAAAGCACCAAATCGAAGGAGATTGGGAGAAAGGTGGCCGAAATCTTACGAAATAGTAGGGAGTGATCTTGATATTACTTGTAATGTAAGAGTTTTAATTCATATACTTTTCAAATGTATAGTTATTACGTTAATTCAACACTATCATTTGATAACCATACAATAAAAAAGGAATACAAATAAATTTAGAAGAATTGCAATATAGTATCTGCAAAATTCTCTTTGAAGGGCAACCAGATACGGTCTCAGAATGTTAACAATTAAATTAAAAGTAATCTAGATTATTCGTTATTTCCAATTAGTTATTTAGTTAATTTAATTGTTTTCGTGTGGCAAGTGATAACTCTTAAAAGAACTTTCCTTTACAAATTCAATGGGTCCTTGTCCTGTAAATTGTAATTCTCTTTCCTAAATTCTAACCAATCTTCATGTTCAAAGTCCATTGATTTTTCTATTTGCAAAAGAAAGTTCCAAGAACGCCATGTTGGCATGTAGTATACAAAACAAAAAAAATTCCATATATTTTGAAACACAATGTCTTTTAAACATGATTTAGTTAGATCAAAGGGTGAGTAATTACCATCGTTGTTTCGGTAAAATATTGTTTATGCTGGTCAACAACATAAATCTGTTACTATTATAGGTAAAAAAACCAATACATATGACGATTTTATAATGACAAAATTTGCCCATTATTTTAGCTAATTAGCCGGTTACCAAATATATGAATACAATAAGGTAAAAATACAAAAGTTATTATTTTTCATCTGCTCCCTAAAAACATGACTTGTGGCCTAACGGTATCTGTGGTTGGAGAAATGGGTTAATCAACCAATAAGTCAAGGGTTTAATTAAATCCCTTTTGGGACAAATACAAAGATGTAGGAATGGGTTATGAAGTGTGTGGGTTCGACAAATTAAAAAAAACATGAAAAAATATCAATAATTATTATTCTCGTTCTTTTCAAACTCAAGAAAAAAAAAAGAATATATGTAACATAGACATGATTGTCGATATGATCTACCTCCCCTACTTCATTTTAATGGGATTCACGGTTTGATATGTTTTATAAGTCAAGAAACATCTATAAAAACTATGATTTTTTTTTCTTTTCCATTCCCTAATAATAATATAAACTTAAAGAATACAATGTCATTTTTTGGTCCCGATCATGTCTAGTTGGGACCCTACATCACTCTTGTCATTAGGCATCAAGGACTGAAGGATATATTTGTTGTCATGTGTATATTGAACTCGTTGTTTGATGGTATTGCCCACGTACCTCAAAATGTGATATTAGGCAAGACTTGTAGAAAAAAGTACGAGTACTATCTATTCGCATTCTTGTAGCTTTTCATTTTCAATAGTACAATAATATAAAGCATTACTGATTACTCAATTGGCACATCACTTTCTCAAATCTTACATCTATATATAATTACAATTTATAAGTTTTACATGCATGATACGTACAAGTGAGCATTGTATCATTAATCTGTGTTTCAGAATGAGAAATTGCCTTCTTCACTTTTTCTTAATGAAGGTGGCATGCATGGAGTACGTTAAGGAGTTTATATCAAATGAGAAACTGTTTTTCATTATATTTTATTTTATTTTATTTAATTTATAAAGTAATTTTTGAGTTTAGATCATAATAAGCATTATAGGGTGAATAAGATATTTAGAACACGAACACGTTTAGAACACGTTTAACTTTGCTTTGGATGAGATCAAGTGTGACAAAAGTGCATATATAGCTAGCTAGCTTATTTGGATCAACTTTGGTTACTCTTTACTCATATCATCGACTTTCCCTTTTCAGTTGTATGCTTTTGCCACTTTGTTTTCACTTTTAAAAATAATAATGGATATGAGTTCAAATAAAACAAAGGCTGTTTGGATGCGATGCCAACTTTATTTTTGCAAAAGTTGCAATCAATCAAGTGTATTGTTTCATAATTTGATTATAGTCTTTTTAATAATAAAGAATCTGATTTTGAGAAGTATTTGCACTAAAACCAAGAGTTTTAATTCTTAAACTACACCATATTTCACTTATGTCTGAGACGGAACTTGAACATTTGATCAGAAGGAGAGAATGCAACACCTAAAACCGACCTAAAACCGATATGCTAAAAGTTCTTTGGTAAAAAAAGTTTTTTGGATGAATAGCTTATTTCCTGTAATTATATGAGTTTTTTCATCAAGTTTTTTCAATATTGTTGTGTAATTTCCATATATCTTATTTCTTATAATTTATTAAATACATGATCAACTATAACTAACACCTTCTTAACGAAACCTACAAATAAGCTTTTGAAAAAGTTTTACTATCATAAATATATCTTAAGATTATTGGGTTGTTGGAGTGGCATTTCGGTGTCATGAAAAATTCTAGTAAAAAAAGTTTGCTATCGTGATTTTCTAATGTTTAAGATAAACAAAAAGTTACAGATAGTACTTCAACTTTAATCATAATTTTATTTTTATTATTACCTAACTTTTAAATCTGACAAACAACATTTATTTAGACAATAAAATGTAAAGATAAAAAAAAATTACAAGATCTAGGGGGCATTCAAACAACAAGGTAAAATAACTAATGAATTTTTTTATGCAAATTTTGGATATATGAAACATTTTTATATATGTTTGGGTCAATAATGTAATGTAACTCGAGTTTTTTCATAATTCAGTATTAAAATTTGATAAAGACCAGTTCATTTGCTATGTGAAGACTCAGCAAGTGGAAACAACAAATCAAGATTGAAATTGAATTGTTTAAACTACCTTTCGATTTATGAAATCTTTGATTAACACAAAAGTCTTAAGCTCATATTTCCAAACAAAATATTTTTCAAGTTTTCTCTTAAAAGTTAAAACCTAAAACTCTCAAAAACTTGTTTTTAAACACAAATTATATGAGAGAAATCGTGAAAAACAAATCAAATTCATGTTTCTTTACGAACTAATAAAATAAATCATAAAATGATACAAAAATAAGAAGATTGACAAAAAAAAATCTCCCAAAAAACGGTCCACAAATTCTTTTTTCGGGATTATTCACTAAAATTGTCTGAAAAAAACGTTTTAATCATTACAAAATTAAATCGTTGAAGCGTTTTTTCATCAATTTTTTTCTAACTCATTATATTTTTGTATTATCTAATTAGTTATTCTTTGATTCGTCAATATATATATATATATATATATATATATATATATATATATATATATATATATATATATATATATATATATATATATAGGGTCCTGATCCCGTAGGAATCCAAAATTTGGTATGAACCGCGAATACTATTCTTCATCAATCATTTTGTCAAGGCAAAAAAAGTCAAACACATTTACTTGGCCGTGACACGTTCGCATGCGACACACGTCCATGGAACATCATTTATGTAACACCGGGTTCCTGGTATGTATTTAAATTATAAATTATTCATTTCAAGAGAGCAACTCGACAAGTTGGAAGCCCCAAACTCATCGAGTAGAGATCAGAAGGGACGTGGGTTTTAAGTAACCTACTTGACGAGTTGAGAGCCCTCAACTCGACGAGTAGGCTGGCAGGGGCGAAACCCTAATTTCGGGGTTTTGCAACCTATTTAAGTGTCACAATCCCCACATGTTAGCCTCATTTACAGCCTCCAAGTCCCCAAACCCTAAATCACGAAATCCTAAAGGCATTGTATGAGCTTGTGAGTCATTTTTGAGTGAGTTTGTGTTGAAGCTTGTGAAGGAATGAGAAGCTTGGGGATTCAAGAAGAAGCTAGTAGATCCAGAGACACCACTTCATTCTCATCATTTTCTGGTAAGCAAGTCTCAAACTTGCTTAGCGAATTCTTAGATCTCCTTATTATCACTTTATTGAGTTTTTGGTCCAAGAAGCATGATCGTTGGGAAATGGACGTCCCAAGTGAGTATACCTTCAGATCTAGAATCATAGAGGGCTTCATGGCATAAAGGTGCAAACTTTATGGTCATTGAAGCCCCATGCAAGCTTTAGGATGTCATTTTGGCCTTTTAAGCTCCAAAAGGCCATGCATGGAAGGAAAGTTAGAAGCTTTACGTATTTCTGAAGTATCTAGGGTCCAGATCTCAGTGTATATGCCTTAGTTTGGAGTATTGATGGCTTGTAGACCAAGATCTAGGTCCTAAAGAGTTAGGGATTGAGCTAGATCCATTAAGTAAGGGTATTAAAAGGTAAAGTTGGAAACTTTACCCTTAAAAGGACAATTTCAGTGTATATGTGGAGTATGGAGCTTAGATATGAAGAACAGGGGCTTAATCCATTAAGATGAAGCAACAGAATGAAGAACTCGGCGAGTTCATAGAGGAACTCGACGAGTTGGTTCGATTTGTCCCGATTCTATGAAAGACAGAACTCGGCGAGTCTGAGGGAGGACTCGACGAGTTGACTCGTTTTATCACGATTGAGAGTAGCATGGAAACTCAACGAGTCAGGAGGATGACTCGACGAGTTGAGTCAACTCAGGGTTGACTTTGAATTGACTGGACGTTGACTTTGACCTTGACTTTGACTTTGACCAAGGTTGACCCGTGAAGGGGGTTTTGAGTATGGAATGGTATCTAAGAGGTTGTTCTGTATAGGGTGTGAGTAGAGTCGGTTGCGGAGTAAGGACACTTCAGCTATTCACACGACATTGAGGTGAGTTTCCTCCTGGTTGAACGGGTCGAAGGCACCAAGACCCGCCCATATATGTTATTTGTATTGATTAGTAGCAGAGTGTGGGCGAGGCCGTATCTCATAGATAGCTGAGTGTGGGCGAGACCCGTATCTCATAGCATTATTTGAGTATGTATATAGGGTTGATTGATAGATTTGGCTATACTTGTCTGTGTGATACTTGTATGTATGTTTAGTAGCTGAGTGTGGGCGGGGCCCTTATCTCATAGTTAGCCGAGTGTGGGCGGGCCCCGTATCTCGTAGTTAGCTGAGTGTGGGCGAGGCCCGTATCTCGTAGCTAGCTGAGTGTGGGCGGGGCCCGTATCTCCTTGAGTGTGGGCGGGGCCCGTATCTCTTAGTAGC